CTGCATATTCAACTCTCATTAAACATGTAAAATGTTTGCAGAATTATTATAATGAGGACATTGAAGATGAAGATACTGAAGGTCTCAAATTACGTTGACAACAGCTGATATTACTCAACAGAAACACCCCATTTCTTTGTGAAATTTCTAGTACTTGCAGTGTTTTGATGGTCATATTGTTAAGTGCTCAAGCTTGTTTGTACTTACTGAAGAATCTTTTACACTTAATTCTTCATGGAAGATTGAGAGCACAACTCATTTTCATGGATAGCCAAAAAGGGTACATTTTATATTGCTATCAAAGACCTACCTATTGGCTATAACTGCTTTCAAAAAGAATTTATTATTCAGATGAGGTTTTATGTGGTTTTGTTTGTTTGTTTGTTTGTTTGTTTGTTTGTTTGTTTCGGAAATAGGCCAGAATAAATAAATATTTTTAAAAGCTAGAGAGAAAATTATTCAAACGGAAATATTTACATGCTGACAATCACATATGATTGATGCTGTTGATTTAAACTGCTAGTACGAGTAAAAAACAGATCAGGTGGAGCTGGGAAGCTTCAGATTCAAATCTTCTCAACTTCTGACAGTTAGCAGGGCAGATATAGAGGAGTGTGATGTGGGAAATTGATATAATATGGCAATCGCTCTGAGACAAATATAAGTGGCTACATAGTTTAAAAGTCAGGGTATTAAATTGGATTTATGATGTAAGCAGCATACACTGGTAGGCGGGATAGGTTGATGTGAAGCAAAGTTAGAGCAATAACATAATGGTGGTTGTTCAAACAGGAAGGATATTGTCGTTTTTGGAGCTGCAATAGTAGAAATTAGACAGGTATTCCATTCTAGGGGAAAATGGTGCTGATAGGTCAAGAACTACATTTTCTGCAGGCCCAAGAATATAATACGGTCATAGTAGGCCTAGAACCAAGACATGGAGCCATTGACTAGTCTAGGACTCATTATAATCCTTTTCTGGGCTCAGGATAGATCCTAGATGAGAAGTTGTATAGTTTTCTGTTGCTGCATTAGAACTTAGCACAAATATAGTGGCTTAAAACAACCTTCCTTTATTAGCTCATAGTTCAGAGAACTGCCATGGGGTGACGGCGTCCTCTGTTCAAGGACTCAGAGCCCTGAAATCAGCATTAAAACCCTTCTCTCAGATCATTCTTTCACCTAATTTATCTTGGGGTTGTCATCATTTGTCATTTCTCTTTCAGGTTGTCATATATCTGGTTCTTGGTATGAAACATGACATTTTATTGTCGTGTTTTGTTTTTGTTTTTTTAGCTGAGCTATCCTGCTACCTGTTGGCAGCTCAGCGGCTGCTCAGCTCGGGCTGGACTCGAACCGCTGTTGCTCAGAGCTCAAACTTTTGAGCGAGCTCTTAACCAACTGAGCCACTCGGCCGGCCCCATGACATTTTATTGTCTATTGAACATGTTGGCTATTATGTTAGGATACTTTGGGCCCTATTTAAAGTGTTTTTTAAGTTTCAGTAGGCATTCACTCTGTTTAGGTTTGACACACAGTTCCTTCTCTACTTTTGTAGACTGTGGTTCCATGACCGTCTAGTTTTCAGAACCTTTCTGGTACTTTTTTGGTCTGTTTGATTTATGTTGTGCAGGTAGGTTTACCACTGGTCCCTGCTCATGATGCTGAAGGGTGCAGGAGAAGCTTCCCCACAACAGGGTACCTGGTGCTTGTAGGTGGGGAGGGGAGCGGGGGGAATCTCTGGTCCACTTGGGCTAAGAGCACTTCCTGGGACAGGCACTTGTTGCAGGATCTCCCCTGCATTTTTCAGGTGGAAGCTTTTTGTGGTAGGATCACTTTCACTGGTACCTTTTCACTTTCACTTTTCCCTTTAGATTAGATTCAGATTGTTTTTCAGATTGGCCACCGGTATGTCTGGGTGGGGAAGGGAGGTCTTATGTCCAGTGGTGAAGGAAAATACTTTTTCCTGGTCACTTATTGTCAGCAGGACTTCCAGTTGTTCTTCCTTGCAGCTTCTGCAGGGCTCACCTGGGGTTTTCAGTGAGACTTCCGTTTGATCTCATAGAGGGAGAGCTGATTTGAGCTGTTTCCTGTTACTAAATTGGGTTAGCAAATGCTGGGCCTGCATCACTTTTTTCTGTTGAGAGGGGTTCATAAGATGCCCTGCCATGAAGTTGTTCATCTATTCTGATGGTCCCTAGCCAATTCACCTTCTTTAGACCTTTCAAAGTTCTCCTTTGGTTGTCTTACATTACTTCTAGGATATATATTAATAATTGTACTTATAGATGGGGAGAGAGGAGTATAAGCCATCTTATCTGGACTGGAAGTCCTCTCTGTGCCTTTTAAGTGCTCATCTAATTAGGTCAGGTGCACTCTGGATAATCTCCTAATCAACTATGCAATATATCATAACCTAATAATTGGAATATATTCCATCACATTCATAGGGCTGGTACTCAAGGGAAGGGGCTACTACAAGGGTCATTGTAGAATTCTGTCTACCACAGAAGACATATGTGAATGTACTGAAGCATTAATTAGGCAGTTATCATCTTCTGGAAGGTCAGAACCTGTTAAGATTGTGAGAAAGCCAACTACGGCTATACGTATTCTACTTACTTTAAATGAAGTAGATCTGGTACCAGAAATACTTAATAAAAACCAGAATATTCACATAACATTTAGAATTTAATGCGGAATTTTAGAGGATTGATCTAAGTCTTCATTTCTGGCCATGCAAGTATCTTCTGTGTGAAAAATATACTAGCTGAAAGATGTCTTAAAAGACTTCACCACCACTCCCCATTTATATTTTATAGTTCTATGCAATTACTTTGGCTGCCAGCAATTCACATAGGAAATAAAGGTCAGTGATGATTCTGACTTTAAATTTTTAGAGCAGGTTTATACTTAACACTGTGCACATTTATATAGCTTGCACAAAATTTATGACTATTATGATTATCGCTTTAGGTTTCAATACAATGTGCTCTAACATAAACCAGGATTGAAAAATTTAAGCGAAATTTGCTGGACTGGTCAATATACAAAAAAAAAGTTTTCTGGCTGCATTAGGAGAAAAATCCTTCACTATGTTTCAATTGCAAAGGAAGCATGAGCTAAAATTTGATTTCAGATACTCATGGTTTGGGGTGATACTTTTACTGGAGACAATGAGAATTGACTTAGGTAGCCGAGTTTTGAACTCAGGTTTTACTTTTAAGTCTTTCAGATTGCAACCTGGGAGGCTCCAAGCAGTAACTGGGTATTTTGTATCATTCACACAAAGATTAAGAGGCATATATAGACCATAAAATGCTTTACAAGAAATAAGGATTTATTTTTAAAAATCATTACATGAACTAAATGTATATTCAAAAAGAAATGAAGGGCCGGCCGAGTGGATCAGTTGGTTAAGAGCTCGCTCAAGAGTTTGAGCTCTGAGCAACAGCGGTTTGATTCCCAGCCTGAGCTGAGCAGCTGCTGAGCTGCCAACAGGTAGCAGGATGGCTCAGCTTATTAGAAAAATGAAACTTGAATATACTCATGAAGCAAAAAATTCAAGAAATACCTATACTGCCCTTTTTCTTTAGTTGTTTACAATCACAGCAAACCAAAGTGTAACAAGTTTAAGAAAAAGGTAATTAAGTTCTAAGGGTTTGTTATCTCATTACTTCTAAAGATGAAATATACTTTTTCTCTCCTTTATCATGCAATATCTGAGTAAATGAAAGGCAAATTAAGAGGGTTGTTAAAAAGCTAAGTCGAAGAGCAGGAAATGGAGAACAACAGGAAGAGACAAGAAAGCACAGAAGACTGGGTTTGAACAGAGTTGGGAATGTTGGTTGTGGTAGATGGTCTCTGATTTGCTCTTTAGATAGACTCTGCATCCTTTTCTACTCTGCTCTATGATTTCAGGAGGCTTATCTTTACTAGCTTTATAAATCAGTCTCTCTTGCTTTGTCTTCAGGTTAGGTTTGGCTAATGTGAACTACCAACAGGAGATTAAAAGTGAACTACCAACAGGAGGAAAGGAAGGTAAGAATATTTATTTCCATGAACCATCCCCCAAAAAACCTTTAGGTTGGCAGTGGCTGCCATATGTCTATTTAAGATCAAAGCTCTTGTTGGGTGGCCTTCTATTACAATTACAGGACATTCTGGGTAGCTGGAGCTACTCTTTCTCTATGCCCCTTCCAGCCTAGTGGTGACAATACTGGCTTCTCACAGTTGCTAGCCTCAGGGTACTTCATCATCTCTTGGTTTCCCTTCATTCCTTACACACTTTAGTAAGTAGTCTCTTCATTAAACACCATTCCTCATCTTCTTCAAGAGTGCTATTAATTTTTGGCTAGAACCCTGACTGATACATTGGTAGTGGGGGATAGGAGAAACTTCAAGGTAGCAGTGTTAGGGTGTGATAAACTGCTGGAGAGCGAGACAGGAAGAGTAGGTTTTCAAAGCTTTTTACACTACTCTATGAATGTAACATGACTTTATATTAGTGACTGTAACAAATTCTTAAATTGCTTAATTATTTTGGCTGGGTTCCTGTTTCTTTGCATTCACATCCAAGATAGGACATGGCTATGAGATATCTGGGATTTACATGACTAGATAAGACTATTAGGATCTATCTGTATTGCTTATATCACATTAAGACATTTCTTGTATGGAATCAGGATCATCCCAACCCAGTGTACATGCTACGTTTTTATTGAAATTCAGTGACCCTCTATGGTATGAAATTTGCTTTTACTGTCAGATAAGACAGTATTGTTGGACTTTTTAAATATTTCCTTCTACTCTTGAATAGAAATTGGGGAAAGTCCATTAATTCATTTAGGAACCAATAATTCAGTTCAGACTGTTAAATTTAGATTCAGATTGTTATATTTAAGCATCACTCGAAAAGCAGACCTAATGTGGGTGACTATGGTTTGTCCATCACTACAACAGCTTATATAGCTGAGAATTCAGGACTCAGAATTTTCTCTCTAACCAGAATCTACTATTTTTTCACGGCAAATAGGACAGGTGGCGTTATCAGCCAGCCAGCGATCAATGCAGTGGATATGATATTCATGGGAGCAAGGTAACACGCGAAGCCTGTTGCCTTCTGTGTACTCTGCGGTGCAAATGGTACAGGTATTTAATACATCATTTTTACCAAAATATCTTATAGCCAAGTTGTCAATCTGTGCTTTGGTGAGTCCTATAGATTTTATATCATCATTATTTAAGAGAAAAATCTGGTCCAAAGCAACGGGACCCCAAGAGTCATTTTCATCAAATGATACTGGGGTCACAGATCTACTGTATAGTCTGATTTCTGATGAGCCTGATGATAAGCTTCTTTCGTCAAGTCTCTCAGGTATCAGTGAGCTGGTGTCTGAATAGTCATCATTGGAGATGGAACTCGACATAGGGCTAAAATTAGAACTACACATGTAATTGGAGTCTGAACTAGAGATCAATGGGGGAAGTGAATGCAAATCAAAGAAAGGACTTGAATTGGAATCAGAACTCCAATCACCATCAGAAATATCTATTCCAATGGGTGACTCTGCATTTTCCATGTTTTCACTCGAAGGTGAGAAACTAGGCTCTAAATCATTGTCACCAGTCATAAGGTTACTTGTATCACTAACATCTGTCATTCTCTGCCGTGAACTGCTTTGAGTTGCAACAGGTGTTGTATCATTTAAACTAGTATTTAAAAGTCTATGAATGGGAACTCTGATAGTACTGACATGAGCTCTCATATCTGCCTGCTCAGAATGTGAAAACATATGCCTAGGTCCTCCTTGTTCACTTTCTAAAGTGACAGTGTTGATTGTTGTCTCAGATGTTATCTGGGTTATACTAGCTATATTGTCTGTCTGAGAATATGCTCCAGGATGAACTGTTCGTACTTCAGAATCCAAGAATATGGTGGGACTTACGTGTCTCAGTCCCCAAGATTCATCTTCCCTGGTTGTATCTGGGAAAGATTCTCTTTGAATGGCATTCCATGTTCCAGGAGTTGCAAAAAGACCCCTATTTTGCAAATCAAGTCCAGTTATTTGCTGTCTCAATGTTTCTTGGTGCTGAATTCTAGAAAGTCTCTCGGTCACGTTTATCAGAGGCTGCTCAAAAGTTGGAGATGAGACCCCCTGAGGAAGTCTTTGGAAAGCTTCACTCATTGAATGTGGAGGTGACCAACTTGCAATTCTCACTCTGGTTCTCTCGTTTACCAGAGGCTGCTCAATAGTTGGAGATGAGACCTCCTGAGGAAGTCTTTGGAAAGCTTCACTCATTGAATATGGAGGTAACCAACTTTCAATTCTTGCTCTGATTCTCCGATGGTCTGGGCTTCTGCTTCTTGCTCTTCGCTGACCTCTGGTGGGTGGGACTTCCATTAATGCTTCAGTTATACTTTGTTCTGATGTAGATGGTCTTGTAAATGTTGATTCAGAGCATAGATTTTCCACAGGACTTGGGTAGTTTTCAATATTTTCTCCTCTGGGAAGTCTTGTAGATGGTACATACTCATTCTCTAAATCTGAGTTCTCATTACTAAGGTTAAAATGTATTTCTGAATAGCATGTGGCATTACTTGTCACAGTTTCAGTGTCTTTGAAAGAGCGAAGCCAATTTAGAAGAGATTCAGAACTCGACACGCCATCTGAAGAGTCACCTCCACCTGTTAACAAAAAAAGGGGAGGGGGCACAGAAGGGAACTACCAAAGTCAGAGTCATCATAAAATAGCATGCTTGAACTTTGTTTCAAAAACAAACAAAAAGTGGTAACTTAAATACTCAGATATTTTCAACAGATTTCACATTTATAGAGTTAATATTTTGTAAACTTCACTGTAAATTGACAAAAGCAGGAAAGTTTCCATTCCATCTGAAAAGAGTGAGATAATCCTAAATAAATTTAGAGAGTTGTTTTTTCAAAAGGGAATCTGGAGGAAATCTATTTTTAATATTTCATCATATACACAGCCCTGTGTACCACTGTGGGAGGAATGTTGAAATTTTTTTTTTCACTCCGCTGTCAAAATACTAATGCAGTTAAACAAGTCAAGCACCAGTTAAGGTACAGTGCTAGTTATTTTAGTTCAAGTTACATTATTGTCTAATTCTCATTAGTGTACAACATTACTTCTAGGCTTTTGACTTAAGTGCTTTTGATAATACATAAAGTTGTTTTAAAGTATAAGACTATTGTGGCCATTGCCCAAATATAAAAAGGTTTATAGATTTAAAAGTATTTGAATACTTAATATTACTAAGATTTTTAATTGATATGAAATTGAAAATTAGATCAACTTAATAGACTGAATCTAGCATAGTACATATATGGCCATATTCAAGAACCAAACTCTTCTTTTAGATAGTAAAAGGCTCTACTTCACACTGGGAAAGAAGCACCAGAAATGAGGTAAAGTAGGGTTTCTCAACCTTAACACTATTGACATTTTGATATTGGACAATTCTTGGTTTGGGGGAGTTATCCTGTGCATTGCGCGATATTTGGCAGCATTCCTGGCTTCTGCCCACTGGATGCCAGTGACACCCACCCACCTACCTGTGACAACCAAAAATATATTTATACATTGTCAAATGCCCCCAGTTGAGAACTACTTGATTAGAATATGAAATATTTTTTTTGCTGTTGAGGAAGTCACTTATCTACATAGAAAAAAGATTATTCAGGAAGTAGGAGGAACTTTCAAGGAGGTGGAAAACGAAGGAAAATATCAATTGGTTGTTTCACACTGTTTCTCAATTAAAGCAACTCAAATGTGAATCAGGGGGAAAAAATCTACCTTGAGATTCTCACCAAAAATCAAGTAAATGACAGTTCTTTTTAAAGGAGAAGTTACTTTGCACCAAAACAATCTGTGGCACTTCTATGTCATCTCTGGTTGACAATTTACTTTTATGATGTTCTTTATCCATCTCACCCTATTCCCGTCAAAAGTGAAATATACCTGTATTTTTATCTGAGTTTTCCTTAAGTTGCTGAAGTCTTCTCAGCAACTCTTCTTCAGTACTTCCCCCCGGGTTGTTTAGACAATTGTTATCCCGCATAAGCTTGTAATCATCTTCGCTCAAGTTATTCACAAATCGATAGAAATCTTCTTCCCGAACCAATCGGTCCATCTGACTTTGGCACCGGGCGTCGGGTTCATCTTTATGGCTAAAATCTGAGCTTTCCATTGTGATGAACAAGTGGAAAACTACCTGAGTTTTACGACCTGGCATTGAAATACAGTTAAATAAATTATAGTTTTCTTCACTTTCTGCTTCAGTGAGACCGCCCACATTGCCTCGGTTAGATCGTACTCGGTCTACTTTACTACCGCCTCTTACTTTACGACAGTGCCACACTTTGTGGTGATGCGTCGAATGTCAAGATCCATCCGCGTTTGTCTCAAAAGCTGTTTCTCACTGTTACGTAAGCATCCATTACCGGCCCGTGCCAAAATACGGCCTGGATTCAGATTAGGTTTCACTTCATTCCAAACCGCAAATATTGTCGAGAGTTTATTTTATACAAAGCGGTCCATCATATATCCTTTAACCCACATGAGCCTATTCTCAGGCTTTCAGGAGGCTTTTTCAGACTCTGATATGCTGTAGTTATTTGTATGTAAAATTACAGATCCCGAATGTAGCTAGTTACATTGTATATGACCGCTTTCTTCAAAATGCCATGGCGAAGTCATTCTAGTTAAATGTAACAATTCTCATTTTCAGGCACCCAGGGACTTCTTTTTTTCCTCTTCCTAATTCCTTAGATCATAGACACTCACTAAGAAAACCCACAATTTTTGATACTTCACCAGGGTCAGAGCTGAATCTGTTTAATTGGGTCCTTTTCCTTTTAACTCAATGTCTTCATCTTGTGTTTATACAATCCCTCAAACTTCTGTTAAAAAAATTAAATTAATGAATTAATTAAAAATGTCAGGTTTTCTGCTCACCCAGAGAATCCCTTAAGGAATTCTCCATAAATGCATCCAGTTTCATTTTTGTTCCCCTTTCTTATAAGTATTACAAATAGTACTTAAACAAAACTAGCCCAACTATCACAGGCACTTTTAAAACAGATCTGTAATAGTTATTTTGCCTACCATAATGAGTGCTGACTTTGCTGATTTCGTTCCATGTATGTTAGTGCAGCCAGGATGGCAAGGTAAAAATAATGCTCATTTGCTATCCTATCTGAAGGAGACTTCTAAGAGTTTCTGGACTCATTAATATTACCAGTCCCACTTATCACTTGCTTGGGAATCCTTCATTCAAGTTGTTCATATAAAAACAAGATTTGGCTACTGAATTTGAGACATTATTCAATTTGACTTATTTAATAATTAAATCGTCTAACATAAACTGAGTCAGTTACTGCCCTAACCACTAGAGATATGTTAAATGTTGCAGCAGTATGCACTCCCAAGTAATTCTCACTCCAGGTGAGGGAAACATCGCTTAGAAACTATCAAAATACAGTATGCTATATGCTATAATAGATTTATATATGTAGTATTGTGTAAGTACAGAGACCTGCATGATGATTAATGGGAGTTGGGAAATGTTTCACAGAGATATTACATTTAAATCTGAATGTTTAAATATGAGTTTCTACAGATGGAAAGTGGCAGTTGTGTTTGTGTTATTGAAGAGAGACTATGTCAGACAGAAGTAATAGACTTGAAACCTCAGCTTGTTTGGGCAACTGTGGCCATAATTTGAGGGTTGAGTTGGAAATGTTGTGAAATTAATCCCAGAAGGAAAATTGACACAGAGTATAAATTGAGTTTTGAATTTTTTTTCTGTAAGAAATAGGACACCGCTTAAGACGTTTTATTTTTTGAGAACAAGCAGTGGATTTTATTTTTGCCTGCTTAGCATCCACTTTACATACTTACGATAATAGCACCCTGATTTTCCTGGGGGAAAAAAAACCATTCTCTAATCTTAGTCCAGTTGGTTTAGGTTTAACTGAATTCACTGCCATGGCTAAAGGAAAGGACACCTGATGCAAAATAACATATTTCAAATTGCTGATTATGGTGATTTTTTTTAAGCTGAGCCATCCTGCCACCTGTTGGCAGCTCAGCTCAGGCCAGGAATTGAACCGCTGTTGCTCAGAGCTCACACTCGAGCGAGCTCTTAACCAACTGAGCCACTCGGCCGGCCCTATGGTGATTGTTTTAAGCATGGGTTTGTGACTGAAAGTACATTTAAGAATTAAATCTGAGATGTTACCTGGAACTACTGAAAATGAGAAATTATTTTCCACTGTGGTTCTTAAGCTGGTAGGATGTAAACCTAAAGATGCTTGTGGCTATCTTGTGTACCTCTGAAGGAAGAAAATCAACATAGAGACTGAGGAAAATAAAAAGGGAGAAAAAGCCACATACCTGAGGAAAAAATTTGAGAAGTACTTCAAGCTAGATGTGCTTTAGTATTTTGAGATCTATAAACCAGTGTATTTCATTTTTTTTAAATGTTAGCTTGCGAAGGATTTCTGTCATCTAAGATTGGAAGGGTCCTAATAATTGCAACAGGATAGTGATATGATCAATGATCTAATCAGGTGTCAAAAATAATTTTTAATAAGTTTGCCATGTTAAGACCTATTTGCTATTGTGCTTTCTATAAAGTTAACATTTATATAATGTAAGTTTGATTGGGCTTAGTCTTTATGAAAAAATAAGAAAATATTTTTTTCTATCATTTATTTAATAAGTATTAGGCACTGGAATTGTATATGATTAAGTTGAAAGAAATGAACAGTCATTTTCATTTGATTATGAATTAAATGTGGTTATGACATATAATGTCAATTCTGTTAGATAAACTTCCTACTTCACTACCATGAAGTCCTTTTAAAATGTCCCTATTTTTGTATGTATTACATATATTATACACTATATTCTGATACCTTGTCCTTATGATACTCATTTAATTCTCAGATGGAAAGAAAACATCCTGAAGTAAAGTACCACTGAACATTTGCTTAATATTAAGGAACAAAATGGTCTTGGTGGGAACAAAAATGTCTTTCACTGATGCATTAATAAAGAGTGCGATAATATGACCAGTTAGCTCCCTGGTGAGATTTTTAGGATGCCTAAGTTTAGCAAAGTCTTAGCGTGAGTAGGTATGTACTTATGTATGCACAAGCGCATATATGTGTGGTGCGTTTAAAATTTTAAACAGATATTTGGTTAGGTTGGCTTAAGTCTAGTTTCTGGATACTAGTAATAGGTCTATTTCACTTGTTTTTGTTTTTTTCTGATGGCTTAGGTACATTTTATTGGTTTTCTTTCAGAATCCTTCTACAAGAATCAATTTAAAATCCAAGCCCCTAACAAGAGAGTGAGTACACTTCTCCTTTTCCTCAGAGCCCGCTCTCCCTCTCCATTTTCATTTTC